CGACCACGTACACTGGATGGACTGGGTCTGAGACGTCCACCTACTCTACCGACATTACTACCTACACTGGTACCGACGGTGAGTTAACCACTGAGACCATCTACTACGTCGAGACCCCAGCAGTCGTTTCCACCACGTACACTGGATGGACTGGATCTGAGACGTCCACCTACTCCACCGACGTGACTACCTACACTGGCACTGACGGTGAGTTGACTACCGAGACCATCTACTACGTCGAGACCCCAGCAGTCGTTTCCACCACGTACACTGGATGGACTGGATCTGAGACGTCCACCTACTCCACCGACATTACCACATTCACCGGTACCGACGGTGAGTTGACCACCGAAACCATCTACTACGTCGAGACCCCAGGTGTTGCATCGACCACGTACACTGGATGGACTGGGTCTGAGACGTCCACCTACTCCACCGACGTGACTACCTACACTGGTACCGACGGTGAGTTAACCACTGAGACCATCTACTACGTCGAGACCCCAGCAGTCGTTTCCACCACGTACACTGGATGGACTGGATCTGAGACGTCCACCTACTCCACTGACATTACCACATTCACCGGTACCGATGGCCAATTGACTACCGAGACCATCTATTATGTTGAGACTCCAGCTGTTGTTTCTACCACGTACACTGGATGGACTGGATCTGAGACGTCCACCTACTCCACCGACGTGACTACCTACACTGGCACCGATGGCCAATTGACCACTGAGACCATCTACTACGTCGAGACCCCAGGTGTTGCATCCACCACGTACACTGGATGGACTGGGTCTGAGACGTCCACCTACTCCACCGACGTGACTACCTACACTGGTACCGACGGTGAGTTGACCACCGAAACCATCTACTACGTCGAGACCCCAGGTGTTGCATCCACCACGTACACTGGATGGACAGGATCTGAGACCTCTACCTACTCCACCGACATTACCACATTCACCGGTACCGATGGCCAATTGACTACCGAGACCATCTATTATGTTGAGACTCCAGCTGTTGTTTCTACCACGTATACTGGATGGACTGGATCTGAGACGTCCACCTACTCCACTGACATTACCACATTCACCGGTACCGACGGTGAGTTGACCACCGAAACCATCTATTATGTTGAGACTCCAGGTGTTGCATCCACCACGTACACTGGATGGACAGGATCTGAGACCTCTACCTACTCCACTGACGTTACCACATTCACCGGTACCGATGGCCAACTGACTACCGAGACCATCTATTATGTTGAGACCCCAGCTGTTGTTTCTACCACGTACACTGGATGGACTGGGTCTGAGACGTCCACCTACTCCACCGACATTACCACATTTACCGGTACCGACGGTGAGTTGACTACCGAGACCGTCTACTACGTCGAGACCCCAGCAGTCGTTTCCACCACGTACACTGGATGGACCGGATCTGAGACCTCTACCTACTCCACCGACGTGACTACCTACACTGGCACTGACGCTGAGTTGACTACCGAGACCATCTACTACGTCGAGACCCCAGCAGTCGTTTCCACCACGTACACTGGATGGACTGGATCTGTGACGTCCACCTACTCTACCGACATTACTACCTTCACTGGCACTGATGGCAAACCAACTACGGAGACGATCTATTTCGTGGAGACCCCAGAGGGTGCTTCTACTACCTACACCGGATGGACCGGATCTTTCACTTCCACTTACTCCACCGGTGTGACTACCTTCACTGGATCTGACGGCAAGCCAACCACTGAGACTGTGTACTATGTTGAGACCCCAGAGGGCGCTTCTACTACCTACACCGGATGGACCGGATCTTTCACTTCCACTTACTCCACCGGTGTGACTACATTCACTGGATCTGATGGCAAGCCAACTACGGAGACTATCTATTTCGTGGAGACCCCAGAGAGTGCTTCTACTACCTACACCGGATGGACCGGATCTTTCACTTCCACTTACTCCACCGGTGTGACTACCTTCACTGGATCTGACGGCAAGCCAACCACTGAGACTGTGTACTATGTTGAGACCCCAGAGGTGCTTCTACTACCTACACCGGATGGACCGGATCTTTCACTTCCACTTACTCCACCGGTGTGACTACCTTCACTGGATCTGACGGCAAGCCAACAACTGAGACTGTGTACTATGTGGAAACTCCTGCAGTCATTTCTACGTCTTATACCGGATGGACCGGATCTTTTACCTCTACTTACTCTACTGGTATGACTACATTCACTGGATCTGATGGCAAGCCAACTACGGAGACGATCTATTTCGTGGAGACCCCAGAGGGTGCTTCTACTACCTACACCGGATGGACCGGATCTTTCACTTCCACTTACTCCACCGTTGTGACTACCTTCACTGGATCTGACGGCAAGCCAACCACTGAGACTGTGTACTATGTGGAAACTCCTGCAGTCATTTCTACGTCTTATACCGGATGGACCGGATCTTTTACCTCTACTTACTCTACTGGTATGAATACCTTCACTGGATCGGATGGTGTATTGACCACAGAGACAATCCTCTATGTCGAAACTCCAAGATCAGCCTTCTATGGTAACACAACCACAAAGAACCCTGGTTCAACCCCTGTAGAGAGCAGTACATCCTTCCTCACTACCCAAGCTTCAAGTAATTCATGGCCAACCTCCAGTAACATTCCTACTTCATCTTCTGGAATGAGTTCTGATGTATCAACAACTACGTTAACAGGTGGAGTAACGTCATACACTACAACATGTCCCGAGAGCTCGACGTCACAAACAGGTAAGCCAGAGACACCAATTATTTCGTCGATCACCTCATCCTTACCCTTCCAAGGCACCGAGACTGTTGTTACTACAACGGTATCTGGTGTTGTAACTTCTTTCACAACAACCTGCCCTGAAAGTGATACTGAGAAACTAACTTCTCTTCAAAGCACTTCTCATACAATCTTTAGTGATACTGATTCAGGAGCAGGAATTACAACCAAGTCTGGTAATGCCAACACGAAAGAGTTGACCACCAGTAGTGCGACTACATTTTCAGACTCAGGCAATCCACAGGTAACATCTACCACATATTCTGGGAAAGTTGAATCACCTGCTATATCGCAAAGTGGAGCGTCTAAGAACGTAGTTACCACATCTACTTCCTCTCATGAAGCTTCCTCTGAAGCTTATGGTAGTGGAAATGAAGTACCAACTCAAACTTCCTCTCAAGAAGCTGGAAACTCAGAAACTGCAATTGAATCTAGCACTTATTCTACGTCCAGCTCAACTTTGAATGCTCATACATTGGTGTCCCAGTTTACTGTTTCTCAACAAACTAGCCCGGCCAGTATTGTAACAGGTGCAAGTCATTCACTAGTTTCAATTTCAACTTACGAAGGCCTGGCAAACAAGGTTAAAACTGGCCTGCTTTTGCTCCTCCCTCTTGCTCTCTTGTAATAGTAGAGACAGGATCGCCAATCAACAAAGCTATCACTGCTTTTAACGATGCAGTTAATCTTCAATTCCTACATGAACTGGAAAGCGAAAACTATAAAGATGCAAATTGTTGTCAAAGTATAGAATAGAATAGATTTTATAGACTATTTTCTAGTAAAGCTTTCTCCAAATTTTGATATGGAGCATGAAATGACTGACTGATTTTGGTAACTCTCGTGTATTTAACAAATAAGAAAGTGGTACAATCCCTTTTCCTTCACACTCCTATTAGCTGTGGATTTACTTGAAACAATTGAATTTTTTTAGCGGGTTTTAAGAGACGACCCGCTTCACTTCGCACGAAATCCGCCATTTGCCTGCCTAAAATCCACCGTTAGCAGCGCGTTTCCCAGTCCAGTTCGTTGGGTTTTCTCAACTGCAAGCGTTGCATTTTGGTTGCCTTTTCGATGCGAAAAACGGCGTACGGGCTAACCGATGTTGCCATGAAGGGTGATCATCACTTTGAACGCATTTTCAAAAATTAAAAATATGCTGTCATCGCTGCAGCCCGTTAAGTGCGATTTCTAGATAGGTTGACTATTTTCCCAATACAAATTGAAATGATCTTCCGCTATCAATTATCTGTGTAAATTGAAATTTTGATGACCACAGACATCTAAGCCGCATAAACATAGACCCTCAATAGACAAACGATGAGATTATCTGAGGAGTTTTTCGTTTTATTCTGATCTAGGCTTGAGGGACCTTTGCAGGAAACCGATTCGAAGAATTACCTACACAGTATTTGGACGCGTACTTTATCAAATAATAAGTGAAAGAACAGTTCTCAGATAGCCATTTTGCATTATAGGGGTCGTTGATTTTGTTACACACTTTTGTGCATACAAAAGATCTGAGGGGTAAAGGTTTTGTGAACGTCCATGGTCCTAAAAAGTTTTTCCCATTAACGCTCTTAATCGAAAGAAGAGAAAATATACAATACGCAATATGTAATTTTCCTAGAATACGCTAAGAGATATATTTAAGAGGACAGGCGAGGAGGACGTCCATTTGCCAACGCTACAAAGTGTCCCCAGGTGATGAGCTCATTGGTACAATCATCTCTGTTGATCTGGATTTCAATTAGGGTTGGGCCTTCAACGTTTGAATTTGCCTTTTCTATGGCATCAGCTAACTCTGCCCCAGTACGCACTTGGAAACCTTTCGCTTTCCCATCATTAGCATTAAATGCCTCCACCAATGCGGCATAATTCCAATTCTTGATATTATTGTAGGGACCATCATGAATTTCTACTTCAATAGTGTACCCAAAGTTATTTATCAAGAAGATAATAATTGGCTTTTTGAGCCTAACCATTAGGGAAACCTCTTGAGCTGTCATTTGGAAGGATCC